TAAAATTAAAATTAAATTATTTGACAATATTAAATAGATTGAATCATAAAATAGTTTTGTGTTTATAAAACAGATTCTACTCGTATGCTTTAAATTTTGAATTGCAAAATAAACTAAAAACAATATTTAGTTTATATTTAAAAATGAGAATAGATAGGGTTAATCGTGTCAACTTTATAATACAAATAGTCCATACTGTTTCACCTGACCTTCTGCTTTTATACGTACAGTGCTATTTTATACGGAAGTTAACATATAAAGTCACCGCATCTGAAAGACATATACTGAAAATAATGAACCATTATTATTTAAATTTTCAGAACTGTAATTTGTATGAGATGAGATAATCGAACAACTACGGAAGTTGTATGGCTGCTACTATAAGGAACCACATAACAGCTAAAATGTAATATTTGCTTGTGCCAAATTTTGATACCAATAGCTTCAATAATTTCTGATATATAACCAAAAAAATTTTAAAATTGTAGGACACCTACGCGAACCACTGCCTCAATCAGGCATGGTGAAATCAACTCAGAATTTGAAGCTAATCAAAAATGCACACCACTATATATTTCTATTTGTCAGACCATTATTTCTGAGTATTATAAACAGTAAAGCAAATTTATAACACCCTTCGAACACACGTTCGTCCGTGTATAATTAGTAGATACAAATATAAAAAAATCCTCAATATATCTGTATAAATAATCAAATAATTTACAATAATGACACAGACGTCCTTTTTAACCTTTAATTTAAATTTATAACAATATCATGTTACTTAATTTAAAAATTAATAATTACCCATAAGTATTTAAATTTATCTGATAAAAAATTTTTTATTCAAAAATTAAATTAAATAAAAAAAAATTATAATAGTTATTAATGGAAAAAAAACCGGAATTAACTAATTGTGTATGATGAAAATCATTCAATAGAAATTAATGAAAAGAAAAACGAGTTCAGAGAGCAATAATAATGATGAATAACAATAATTAACTCGGAAAACAATAAAAAAACATGGGAAAGTTTTAAAGAGGTTTATAAACTTTTAATTATTTTTTCTTTTCAAATTAATTATCAAAAAAATTACTCAATTTCAGTAATATAATTTAGAATTTTGTTCATTTTCCTAAAACAGCATAGCGCCATTATGAGTTCATAAATTAAAAAAAAAAAATATTGACATAAAATTAAAATATTTTATTATTAATATTTAAAGCCAATTAATTATTAGTTACGCAGGAAAAGTTATTATACACCTATATTCTTCCGTTTTATTATAAAATTGGGTCATTCCAAATATTTAGTGTTCTACAAAAATTTGGAAAAAAATATTTTTTTTTTCAGATTTATTGCATTTTTTCCATAGGTACAAATATTTTACATTTTATTAAAAAAAGTTTGATGTGGTCAGCACATAACCGACCGCATTGTAAGCTTTTAGTTTACATTACAGAAAAATATAACAATAGAATTCAAATATTAAATATCAATAAAATTACGTTAATTACTTTCTTAGATGTGCTGAAAAATGTAAATTTGGTCACTATTTCGATTTCCGAACCCTGGTACATTCCCAAAAGTTATAGAATTTCATTATTTCAACACTCTGAATTTAAATATTTTCAAGGAAATCGACTGATTATTTTTCTTTATGTTCGTAAAAATGTAAATTTGACTCTTAGTAAAATTCAAGTTTCTATCACTTGATTTCGTTGAAAAGCTACGTGGCTTCTCATACTATCAGACGAAGCTCTTTTATGTATAAAATTTCAGGAATATACGCCGATTATTTTCTTAGATATATAATCAAAAGCATAAAATCGACCTGTAGCAAAGATCCATTTCCAGAAAGAATTCTCAGAATAAATACAAATATAAATTTTCATAAAAATCATTACACCAAAAGACATCTATCTAAAAGTAGTTTAGTTACGCTTCCTCGATATGTGAAATTTAATACCATCACATAACCTCTCGTATTGTATGCAATGTTGTCGGTAAAAATTTTCCAGTTCATATTATTAAAAGAAAAGCTAGAAAAATATATGAATTTTCAAGTGCATAATAAATTTATTCCTTTCATTTTTTCTAAATGTTTGGAAAATATTACGAATTGTAATGAATGACATAAAAAGAATTTAAATGAAATTTAACCTATGCATATAAATTTTAAATCACTTTTATACACATGGCAATCCAGGCTTATTTAAATTTTACAAATTAAGATGACTAGAACTAAATTAAAACTAATTTAGTTTAGAATTAAAACTAATTTTTCCAAGTCTCAAACCACTATATTCAAAGTAATTAGTTTTAAAACTATTAGGTTTAGTACTAATTTTCTAAGTTTCAAACCAATATATTCAATTCGACAATGTTTTATTCTACAAAACTCATAAAACCTATTTTTTTTAGATTAAGAGCGAATTCAGATTCCAGAATGCAAGTCGAATCAAAGGTAATATCATAATTATAACCTCTTAAGAAAAATTTTACTAAAATCTAGATAATGAAATTACATTAGAATGTAAGTACGTACATATTTTAAAATTTATTTTACAAACCACAAAAATATCCGAATTTCTCCAAACTACTCATTTTATTTTAACATCGCTCAAAGTAAATGGAATAAAATTTTAATTTTTATATAAGTAATACAAAAAAAAAGTTAGTAACTTACGTATATAAAAAATAAAAGTTAACAAAAACAAAAAACAAAAAGCAAAAACTCTTTGACCGGAATGACTAAATTTTCAAAAATTTTCATAAAAAGTTTAAATGGTTTTGCTGGTAAAACTCAAAATTATTTTTAAACAAAAAAGTATAAATAACATTACCTACTCAAAAAAAAAAAAAAAAAATTAAAACCAAAATGAATAAAATGAAAAAAGGTTTCCGAAAAACAACCAAGTACTTTTCTTATATTAAAATTCAAACCACTTTATACAGATACCTACATATACTCGTTATATTCCAAGGTACTACATTCCCACACATTCCCACTCACACAAATAATTATAATGTATGCCACATAATATTCATTTAACTTTATCTTTAAATTTAATCAATTTTAACTTTGAATATGCAAGTAATTACAAAATAACTTTTATTCAATTTTTTTTTTTCTTTTTCTTCTCTTCTTCTTTTTTTTTTTTAATTAAACTTTACTAAAACGGGATTATCATTCATATTCATGACATTTTAATTTTATACTCTGCATGTGTATGTGTTCCATACCTATTTAACTATTAATTAATTTTTATGCTAAAACTGTTTTTTTTTTTCGTTTTTCGTTTTTGGCAGAGGAAAAACTTTTTCTTTTATAACCTTCTGGAAAATGAGAAAATTTAACTGAAAACAATAAAAAAAAAAAAGTTTTCCAAAAAAAAAGTTGAGAGAATTTCATTCCAATAAATACCTTTTTCAAAAGTAGTTAATTATGATTTTTGGAAAACTATAAAAAAAAAAAATATTAAATTATTTCAGCGAAAATCTGCTCCTTTTGTTTTTTCTTCGCATAATGAACAAGAAAACTTTTCTACAAATTTTATTAGAAGTCAGATAAAAATGAATAAATGTCAAATTATGCTCTATAAAAAAAAAAAATAAAGTAGATATGGGAAAAAAATTTTATGTTCGAATAAATTTAAAATTTATTTTGAAAACTGGCGCCCTACCATGTACTCCTATATACATCTATTTTTGTTGACGAAATTTAAATTAAAGATTAACAAAAATTTTTCGTTTGGAACGGCGAAATTGAAACGCATACAAGAATTAGTAATCTGTTCATAAACTACATAATAGAAAGAATTGAGAATCAGAGAACCTCTAATCGGATAGTTGTATTGGAAACCTAAGCAATTTATTGATTTAAGTAATTTACCATAATTTAAAAACCGAAAATCGAATAATTAAAATTAAAGCATCAATTACTAAAAATTTTATTTTTCTTGCATTAATCCAAAAACTTGTTCCAAACGACGAATTACAAGCGTTTATTTACAGTTTGGAATGAATATATCAACGGAATATTTGTGTACAGTTGAATCTGGATAAGATTAATTTCAATGGACCGAACAGTTTTGTTTCACTTATAGAGGAAACCTATTCCAGTTTTCCTTTCATATCTTGTTTTTTTTTTTTGTTGGCTGAATAAAACAAAACTCACACGAATACTTTTTTACTATTTAGAAGCAATTTTTTACTAAATAGAAGCAAAATAAAAATAAAAATTGCACTGAAAGAGATAATCATAAAAATATTCCCCCTATCGAAGTAAAAATGTACTGAAATAAAGCGAAAATTCAAGAAATCGATTGCAGTTATAGAAAACATAGCAATTCCTCTAGGAACCGGAAAAAATAATTTCATTTAAAGAATTTCCTCTTATACAGGTACCTCTTATCCCAGTTCTACTGTATATGGCTGTAACAGTAATATTTAACATAAATTACTCTCTAATAATTTTCATAACAATGAAATTTTTTTTCCTTGGAAGTATATATCCTTCCAACATTATCCTTCATATTTCAAATTTAATGCATCATTCCAATTGTTTGTTGTATACTATGTATATGTCTACTCATTATTCATTTTCATACAATATGGAGAAGTATATTATTGTAATGACTCCAGGATATCAATGATATATAAAAAAAAAAACAGCACAATCAGAACAAATAACAACATATCAAATTATCTGATAAACATGAAGTAATTTTATAAAACAAAAAAAAAAAGTGAAATAAAATTTAAAGTTATATTTAATCCTTTAAATTTTCAATATTATTTTTACTAAATTAATATAATATTATAATGTGTGAATAATCCGGATAAATAGAATTATAATTATTAAATTTTCAAAAAAAAAAAAATCAATTAAATTTGAATAAAATTTTTTGATTTTTCTCCATATTTATTTATTTATTTATATATGTGTATATATAACGTCATAATGATATAACCATAAAAAAAAAACCAACACTTACCTTTAAGAGCATCATCCTTAAATATATCACTATCGATAATAGCACTTATCTCCTTACAATAATTACTATCACAATTAAATTGAAATTGAAATTCTTTAGCCAATGTACTCAATAATAATGATGTTTCATTATCAGCTGAATTAATAATAGCTGCATTTAATATATCATTATTACTACTGTTATGATTATTATTATTATTGCTAATACCAGTAATATTAGTACTACTATTATTATTAGTTTTGTTATTAGTATTATTTTTGAAATTATTACTATTTTTATTATTATGATCTGTTATTGCTGTTGCTGTTGTTGTTGTATTTGTGGTTGTAATTGTTCCAGTTAATGTCCTTGAATTTATTATTGCTGAAGATTTCTTTTTTTGATCTAAAAAAATTCCATCAATATTATTTCCATTTAAATTATTTTTTAATGCTGTTGTTATAATATTAGATCGATTTATTAATGTTGATGATGGTGATGATGATGATGATGATGTTGTTGTAGTTGCTGCCGTTATCCATGGCATAACATCTATAGAACTATTTAAAATACTATTTGTTGTTCTATCATTTAAATTAAGACCAATGTTACCAATACCACCACCGCCACTGCCTACACCACCACCTATACTTCCACCACAACTCGGTATTGAACCATATGCTCGAAACATAGTAAAAAAATTTTTATTATTGTTGTCCTTGTTTTATGATAATCGTAAAGAATGTGTGTTGCTATTGTTTTTTTTTTTTTTTATCACTTATTTGTTGTTATTCTCAATAAATGCAGGAATTGTTTTTGTTTTCTTAATTTATTTTTCTTGTTGAATTTTATATTTTTTTCAAATTTATTTAGTTGTTTTGTTGTTGGGATTTAATATTATGCCCTACATAAACATTTCATTCTCCAGAAGAATTTTTTTTTTATTTTTAATTTGTTATACTTAATAAAAATATTTATAAATTATAAACGGAGAATAAAAGAGAACAACACAACAATTTTTCACAATTTAAATTAAAGTTTTTATAATTTTAGTTTAACTATTTTTGGTTTTTAAATATTCTTTTTAAATATAAAAGTTTTGTGTTTTAATTCATTACTAGATAACAGTAAAATAATATCACAGATCATTAAATAAAAAAGTTATAAAAAATATTGAGAAAAATTCGTCTTTTATGCCATAAATATTTTTTTTCTCTCTCCTCTTCTGTTTGTTGTTGTTCTTTTTTTTTTTGCTTTTTATTTATTTATATCTTTTCATATTAATATAGAAGTTCATTAAAAGTCAATTATATATAAAAAAAAAGTTTTTGGTATAATAACACAAGAAGAAAAGCAAAAAAAAATTCAATATAACAAAATGTCCTTGTGACTTTTATATTATATTTTATAAATTTAACATTTTTGTGAACATTGAATAACCTTGAATAAATTAAAATAATTGAGCATGAAATTAATTTAATTTAATATAGAAAAAAAAAAACAAAAAAATAAAACTTAACAATAAATTTAAAATTATATTTAAAAAAAAAATGATACTAAAAATTGATGAAGTTTAACATATTAAAAGTTCCTCAGTAGCACACAAATAGCACACAAATCAAGCTGGCCATTTATTTTTCATTTCTGTTGAAAGCAGATTTCATTTTGTGCTTGACAAAAATTTGAATCTTCTGACATTCTACATTCAAACTATTCACAATTGAGTTTCCAACAAATTTATGAATTCTTTTCATCAATATTTCATTTAATTGGAGAAAAACATAATCTTAAATCTTTTATTTATAGTGTTATATTCGAGCTTTCCCCGATATTAATTTTCTGGCATCCTTACGCTAACAATAAAAAATCTCGCTCTATTAAAATCTACCGTATTTTAATTGATTTCATTTTAATTTTTTGATGTGAATAATTTTTTACGATGAATTTAATGAAATTTTAATTATATTTGTTTTAAAAATTTTAATTAGTGTTTATAATTTTTTGTTTTTTGAGAACTTAAAAATTTTAATCGAAAATTCTTAATATTAATTTTACTAACAGAGCCTTTGTATGTACACTTACATTTCTGGAAAAATTTAAATGAAAACTTTAAAATAAGTTTATTTGTTTATGTGTTATACAAAATGCTATGCTAATTACCCGCATTTATAATATTATACAATAAAAATTAATATAAGTATATAAAATATATGTCTACCTTGTTATATACATATAAACTTAATTAAATGTTGTAGCTTGTATTTTCAGACGCAATCAAGAAATTCGACATAACAAAAATTAAATAAACGCATTCATTAATATTTATTTCAAAATATAACAACAACAAAAAAAAAAAGCAAAAAATCAATAAGATAACCTTGTATATAATAAATCATAAATTTATCACCTGAATTCTACTTGAAAAAAAAATATTTAAATGGAATAGAGTTGCAGCAAACATCATTGTAAAATTTAATCTAAAACGTATGTAGTTTGTAAAAGAACGTTTATGTTTTCGCAAGCAGCCAATTCCCTTGTTGTTTTAAACATTAACAATTTTTATAAGTACTCAAAAGGTTCATACAATTATTGATAAGTTTACACTCCATTAATTTTTTCTTCATATACACGAGCGAAAACAAGCTCGAATTTAGAATTGACATAGCATTACGAGTATTTTAATATGTATATTGTATAATGTATATACAATATGTATATATATGTATATTGTACAACAAATATACATGTAAGTATTCGCAAAATATAAAAACTATGGTTAATTTTTTATTTAGCGATAAAAAAATTTTATTAAAAATCCGATATGAATAACACGTTATCGACCATTTTCTATTTCCCAAATTACTTTTACATGATATCCGAACAAATTTACATCTCTGGCGAAAAAATTATAACAGTGTAACAAATGTTTTGTGTTACAAAAATTAAGACAAAAATCCTTTAGTTATTGTGTTAAATATGCTTAATAATGTAACATTGGCGAACATCGGCTGATAATCAAATCAATATTGATCAAATATCAAATTTACGGTAAATATTGAGGAACACAACCTGTATTGCTAAAAAACGGAGAGGCTGGTATCTCACATTAAAAGTAGTTTCATTACAATTCTCTAATGCAGAAAAAATAAATTTGACAGTGGAAGTTGAATGCGATCAGAGTAGCTTCATTATTGCATACAATAATGAGAATTGTAATAAAAAGTTAATTAATTTCAAGGTTAAGGCAAAATAAAATTTTCCATTTTACATCCTAATAATTTTTAATCAAAAACTAGACCCTAAGTTTCTGAGCCCTAATATATAACAAAATTTGAGCAATTTATGATATTATGACTAATCTTAAATCCGACATAAATTTTCATCAAAAATTGTCATATTACCGAATAAAGAATCAAAAATTTCATATCCGAAATTGAGATGCACTATTGGAGTCATAGATCTGCAGACTGACATCTCTCTAGAAACAGATTATTTACATTTCACTCTAACGGAGAAATGCATTCCAGTTGAAAATTCTACATTTAAAATCTGGTTCCAGTACATACTCGTAATCTCCCTTATGGAAATTAATTTTTTTATTTTACCATACATATATACATATGTATATATTTTCCTTCCAAGTACATGGATTTAAGTACATGAATAATTTGCAATGTCATAATTAAAATAATTTCAGTGCTTGTCTTTTCAATCAAAAAAGAACAATAAATAAATAATTATTATTAATAATAAAATAATTATTGATGTCATAATTTGTGGATAATAATTTACATAAAACATACTTATATGTATATATAAGTGTATTAACAAAAATATCACATTATGGAATTTTAAACATTATTAATATTAATAATCACTTTATTATTTATGATACTAAAATTAATGTTAAGAGCCTCTATTGAACAAGATACAACTACATATACACATACATGAAAATATTTAATTAAGTGTAATATTTTTTAGCAATGGAAATTTGAAATATCATGCCTATATATTTTATGTCAAATATACTCTATAGAATATTATGATTGCTCTATTTAACTGCTATTATTTAAAAAAGAGGAAAATTAAGTGGACTATTATACAAAGGACATAATATTATGTACGAACATTTATGTTAAACAATAAAATTTATTAGCATTTTAAAATTTCAGGTGAAACAAAAAAAAAAAGAACAAGACCATTTCATGTTGTATTGTTAATATTTTTGGAATAAATTTACATTTTAAAATACAATATATTAAAAGGATTTAATTTTTGGAATAATATATGGAATAATATAGAGTTGACTTGTTCACTTATTGAAACTTGTATTATTAAAAATATTCTTGTACATATACGCTTAATTAATAAGGTAAAGAATAATTTTACAGTCGAATCCCATCTTAGTGTGACCTCATTAGGAAATAATTTTGAAAGTTCTACCACGTCCTGTCTCATTAAGAATTTTTCGAAAATCCTGCCGTGTTATATAAAATTTTCTTCTGCTTTTGTTTGCGCATATATATGATATCTGTTATACAATACATTTATATAACATTATTAAAATATATTAAAAAATAGAAATATATTGTTAAATTAATCAAACTTTGACCTTTTTATATTACAGCATTATTTACACTTACATTATATACACTAATTTTCTAAGTAATAGGGAGGAGACAGCCATAACAAGTAACAACATAATTAGCATTATCAAGTTTTGATGTTTTTTTTTTTTCTGTTATTATTCTTTATTAGAATTTCGATAATAAAAGTTTAATTCTTATATATTATATGTTTATACTTATATATACATATGTATAACATTTTTTATTGTTATAAAGCTAATTTTCCTAACTTACATAATATTTATTTATTATTGTATTTTTTAATGTAAAAGGATAATGACATAGTATAAAAGAAAATCACAAATAAGTAATCAGAATAAGAAAATTTGTATTAAAGTATAGAAAAAAAAATAACAAAATAAAATGGAAACAAATATAACAAACAAAAAAACCATTAAAAAGAAATCAAATAATAATAAAAAAAGAATTTTATATAAATAATATGCTGCGTTGTCCTTCATTCTTCCTGTTTCCTATAATATCAATGTATTATTTTACAATATTCTAATATTGAAGGCTATAATATTGAATATAATATGATTTTTATAAGCGTACCAAACAAAAAGCGCCATCTGGTATTTAATATCATATAGTATGTACATATATATTTAAATTTATGTCCTGACTACATTATATTCTTATACATATTCATTCATTTACCTATAAAATTTATATTGAAATTCTAGATTACGTTCTGATTTTATATGACAATATATTGTATTTTCTTCAATCAATATAAATTTAATTACATATATATATATTTTTAAAATGAACAAGATAATAAAAGTTTTCTATTAAAAAAAAAATTATATTTAATTAGACAGTATAGAAAATCTTGCAAAATTATAGAACATATAAGAATCAGCATTGTAAAACAAATGCTCACCATATAGAATTTTAAATGACGAACTGCGTTAAATTGGCTTTAATATGACAGTTAAATCTAACAAGACAAAAACTATTATAAATGTGAAAATAGTAAAATAGTCAAATTAACTTCATATTATATTGATATTAAACTCAGTCACACAAAAAATTAACAGCTAGGATTTCCAAGTCATATCATACCATAAAGTTTTATAGTTGAATATGGCAAAATTATAAATTTAAAATGTGTCAATTAATAAAAAGAAAACTGTTATATATGTATATAAATTTCGGGTTATTTAATTCTTACTATACATTAATTTTTATTTCATATACATAAGTCTATAAAATTTTTAAATTTTTAAGGCTTTCTAACTTTTCATATCTTAATATTAAAGTTTATGAACTGAATAAATCATTTTTAATAATATTAGATATTATTTTATATTTTTAAATTACCCAATTTAAATTGCGATATGACAATTTTATTAATAATATTTTTTTTAATATGACTAACAATAACTAAACGTTGTCTAAGAATATTTTTTTTATAGATAGTTGAACCTATTATGATTTTCATGGGTATAATGATCTGCTTATTGCTTTGTACAATAGCTACTATGACTCATATATTGGATCTGTGTATTATAATTGGTCTATATTTCAGGTTGCATAAATATGTAGGTAAAATGTCATCTGATAATTATTACTGAAGATATCAGTAGAGATTCTCGGAAACGATATTAGATGATAATCTTGATCGATTTTTGGTGTGTAACTATGAAACAAATAATACATAGCGAGAATTAAATATCAAAAATATTATCGCAATCTGAAAAATTTTATAAAACGAAATTAGTTTTCTATCGAAAATT